CTATTATGAGCAGCAACCGCTTGGTACCCAGGAGTTAACGCGACCCATGTGAATGTTGCATACCAAGTTTCTAACACACATTCATCTGGTTCACAACGACATATCTACGATAAGGTAAGCTTTCCGATTATCTTATCTACCTATCAAGCGGACGAAACCAGGTCATACCTTCAACTCCCGTTATTGAACATATGTGAGACATCCTATCAATGCGTAGTAAAATTTTTCACTTCGTTTATTCGCATAATTCATAACGTATTACCTCGAGCGCCACCTGCTTCAATGAGCCTTGAATTTCCTTATCCGCGAAACAGTCGGTGAAGTTTTGTCCCAATAATGGATGTCAAAATACCTGGCAGTGAGTGACCCCCTACAAATTCTCTTAAAGGCGTTCATCAGTGACGCATCCACGACAAGCGGCAGACGTCTTTCACTGAAAACGACCCAACTACTTTAATACTTTTCAGTATCCAGATTTCCGAAAACTTTTTGGAGTTCATTCTAGTTATCCCAGTAGGATTGAAAGCCCGTAGGGAATGAGATGAAGTAGTCCTTTCTTCTCAATGTTTACCAGATGTCTTGTCTGTTCCCAAAACGACAAAAATGGTACATTTACACACTCCTGTGGTGTAGGACTTGGTTGGTCGAAAGTGCCAGAAAACAGAGAACGATGCGGAGGTCCGCGCTCCGTTTTTGAAGTGGTGTATTTTAATCGCATATAAAGCAAGCTCTTTGGTAAGCATGCGACTGCTTAATGAAGTGGGTGCTGCATCATTCTGTAGCGAAGTGCATTTCTCACCCATCGTCTTCCCGCATACGTTGGTATGAGTATTCTGACGGTAGGTGACTTTCAAGCGACATGAGTCATCATCATTCTCGCGCCCAATAGGTGATGAGGATGATTGTGAAGATTGTACCATTCAGCATACTATGCCTTATTTATCTCCATACTGTTATCCATGATCCAGCTGATACGATGACGAACAAACTGTACCACTATTTTCTCCCTCTCAAGTTGTAGCTACCCCAATGCTGCAAGATCAGCAGTCATCAAATACGTCCAATTGTGAATGTCAAAATGAGTCGCTGACAACCAAATTGTTTCAGTTAGAATGTTCTACGAAAAGGAAGAACTCATAGCCATGTTTGTCCAACCCACATAAGCTATAGTCAACCAAGGATAATAAGTTTTGTCGACTGAATTTGTCACGACTCATGCACGCACGTGCACAGATGCTATCCGCCTTTTGTTTTTCCTTGCGCTACTAGAAAGTAAAAAGTAGTCTAAATATTCGTAACTTGTGGGTAACCGCATTGCCAATGGACTATTCAGCGGCCACGTCGACAGAGACCGATACTCCTGTTTTTGAATCAACTTTCGTATGCTATCCATAATTAAGTAGGACGAATAGGTAGTTTCTGTTTTTAGCGGTAACAAATGTCAATTATATTCTTGAGTGGGCCTCCCAAGTCTGCAACAATCCAAGTGAGACGGAACCCGTATCTCTGCGCCAAACACTAAAAGTTAGAGGAAAAGTGAGTAGCTTCATGGACGTTTTATTGTTATTTGTTTTATTTGATTTTGCAGACCGTATACTAGCAATCGTGTCTGGATAATATGAGTTACTATACGTCCAATTAGGATTCCTCTCTGCTTGAATTTCATCAGCTTCGAGGTTGAACAATAGGTTTACACCCTCCACGGATACAGTTTGCCACTGCAATTTCTAAAACCACAGCGTACCATTTTCAGCAGTGCTGGTGACCCAACCCATGGTATCTTTTGTCTCATAATACTGTTTTGTGACAAATCTTATTCCCTACACATCCTCGTGTTTTAGGGTCGACTAGTGTTACCTGGCCATCTTAGATTCAGCTGCCGTTACACTATACGAATCAAGCAACTAACACTTGAAGAAAGTGAACATCGATCATCGGAGTGGTCTATTACTCACCATGCCCCACGTCGAAGAAAACACATTGAAGTACCGACCACTTATCACTGCTTTTGTACGCCTTCTTGTCTTGATATAGAGTCGAATACTGGAACGTCACCGGTCAACTGCAGTCTACCAAGTACGTTTAGGCAAATGCTATTTTGCTTGGAAAATAAATTAACTGCAGCTAAATAACTGAATCTGAGTGCCTCTAATGCAGAAACTAAGTCAAATACAGCATTTATTCCTTCTTAGCGATAACTGAAGTTGAGTTTGATAGGAAAAAACGCAGATTGCTTAGCCAGACTTGATTTTATGGTAAAATGGCTCCAGATATTTGAGTACCACTTGATTCACTAGTTCGGCTGACTAGCCGAAAAACCTCCTCGTGGTGTCAGCTGGATGGTTCGGGTTTACTCCGTTCCAGCAAATAGTTCGGCGGCAGTGTTCCAGGATGTGGTGGGTTTTCGCCTGGCAGGCGTTCTCCCCATAAAAAAGCCACAAATGTCCTTTTAACAACACTGTGACGTGGCGGTTGTGAGTCGCCACCAACTAGTCACCCATTACTTATCCGGAGAACTGTCTCAAATCCACAGAGATCAAGCATCCATGTAGCCCTGGTGACACATCCGAGGTAAGCATTTACCATTTTTATAAAAACAGCTAAACACACCTACATTTACACTTACATACATTCATATATCAACATATGCGACAATCCCACTGTTCCATGGTACATTAACTGATCAAATTTTGTACTCTTAACATGATCATGCCTGTGCAGCCGTGCGTCGCTTAGTCGCGAATACACATCTTATTTATTTATTTTATTTATTTATATTTCATGGTGCTTAAAGGTCGCTAATACTTGGCCTGTTCTTGAGACTGCTTTCGTTATTATAAATGAAATCTTCTATTTGTTTGTATTGCATTCCAGCTTTGCAGGTCCTTAGAAAGTTACTTTGATCATCGCACGCGAACGAACTTGAAGCGCCGAACCGGATGTATATTACAGCCAGACAGTTTATTCCACTGAAAATCATAAACCGTCTTGAACATGTAGACTCGTCCCGATGGACTCCACGTTGCAGATGTGTAGTGGAAGAATTTGTCTCTTTTCTGCTCATGACATAGATTCTTTCTTCGTCTTGACTGTGGGCGTACGATCCGGTTTTAATATGATTCTTTTAGTTGAGCTGAAGTTCTCAGCGTATCCTATGAGTCACATGCCGGCCCCTAATCTGAAGTTAACGACCTTGTCATCTGACGGTGCTGGTTCGAGCCTACGTAGAAATCGGGAGACACTCGCAGTCTCTTTAGACTACGTGCGCGGCAGCAAAGCGTCGGTACTGCGTACCGGCGTACTGCTGATGCATTTCTTTTCTTTTCTATGAGTAACATGGTTGTGTATGATGTGCGCATCCAACAACTATCCTACAAGTTCCTGCTTGGTGATCCTTTTAAGGGTTGAATATACTTAGCACTCGACATTAGGCGGTACTTCCGAAATTAAATGAGCCTCAGTTGGCCTCAGTAGGAGCTTCACGGCTCCCTGGTTGGGGTCCAAAAGAAAGTGAACACGTTTGGCTGGATACACTTGCTGATATGGCAAGGAGCCGACCTCAGTGGCGTTCCTGCTGTGAGTTTCTTTGTCCCTCCCCATCCCTTTAGCCTCCCCCTCCATCTACGATCTTATTTCGTAGGGTAAAACGTAATTAAAATTTTGGTTTTGCCTAGTAGCCGGCTAGTAGCTTACCGGAACGATGCGTATCCGTTGCTGGTAGCTCAGCTGGCATTCAACTGTCGTATTTATTTCTCCTTTATGTATTGTATGTATGTAGGTATTTCTTTTATGTATTGCGGTACAATAGCGGAGGTGTTTTACCATCTCTAGCTGACATGTATAATGATGATGATGATGATGACTTTAATTCTATTAATCTGCTCTGATAAAGCAATTCTCCTTCAGAATTTTCAATATGACCGCACACGTTTGACGTTTTGTTCTTAAAGTGTGCTTTTAAATTGACACTTATGCAAATTCATTCAATCATTTTCAAGCAAATTGCTTCTTTCACCACCTTAACGCTCGCTTTAGCCTATCCTATACCATTTCTCGGCTTGCCTTGGCTAGACTAACACTCACATCAAGGATTAAAAGCTAGAATGTCGCTAGAATGAGCTAACCGTAACATGTGGTTCATGGACTGTACCTAGATTAATCAATTCATCCGCATTCTCGGGGCCAATACAGCTGTCCTTCTCTATTGTGAATTCACCTGTGAGCTCAACAGCGAGCTTTGTGTTTGTGGTAGGTAACCTAGATCAAACTCAAGCCAGCTTCAGAGACATAATGATTATTGCATTTCGGAGTACCCGCCGCGTGTGTATAGTGTGTTACACATAACCTCCATCAGAACCTAGGTTTACCTTGGGGTAGACTTCGATAATTCACATCACTAGAATCGTACCGGAAGTGAAAAGGTTTCGGCGTTGACCACTCCCAACACTGACACCCCACGACCAGTTTCGTCCTCGTTTAAACTCATCAGGCAAAGCTAGCCTGAGCTTGGATTGGAAGTTGGAACTTAGCGGTTGGCTGCTATCGCCACGATCACTAGAAAATTGCGGTCCGTGAGCAGCATTTTGTAAACCGGTTGGCAGTTCACAGTTGTGTTTGTCAGAATCGAGCGTATCTGGATTATGATGCGAAATCTCAGTTCAGCCCATTGTTGCTGTTTAAGTCAATCTTTGCCATTCCGATTACTGAGACCACATCCGAAATGGAGGGTTTCGGTCTTGCTCTCTCCCATCACTGCGCGCTGTTGTTGTCCCCGTGGTCCATGAAGGGAAACTCAATGGATACATTTCAAGTTTTGATGGAATTACAAGAATTCACACTCCCTATTATCACTCAAAGGAGAAACAAGCAATCCATTGTCAAGCAGACTAGTTAACGAGAGGTCTGGCAGGGTGTGTGTGTAACTGAACTTTATCCCATTGTCCAGTACATCCTAATTTGCGCACCTTATATACCTAAACATTTGTGGTCAATGGGCATATGATCCGTACCTTAAAGTAAATTGCATGATTTCTGAAATAGCGGTGGTTTGTAGTGCGTTGCATAGACTCTGGATGCCATAGCATGACTAAAACCGCAGTAGTACATTTAACACGCCTGACGTACACATTAAACTAACATAATCGTCGAACAGTCAACTTGGGCTATTGGGCCAAAGACTCCGTTTGGGGTCCCTCAAAAAACCTCCAAGCTACCCACTGCCTTGTGCGTCAGGCTATTGAGCCGAAGGCTGCATGCGGAGTCCATCAAGCAAACCTACGAAGCACAACGACCACGACGCGTGTGATTACCCACCAATGCAATCGTATGACGGCTCGTAATGCACTCAGCATTGGGTGCTGGAATGTGCGCACACTGCTGCACCGGAACTCAAGTGCGCAACCCGAGCGATGCACTGCACTCGTCGCGATGGAACTGCCATGCTACCACATCGATTTTGCGGCGCTCAGTGAGGCTCGGATCGCTGAGCAAGGTAAATTGCATGAAGCAAGTGCTGGCTACACGTTCTACTGAGTGGGCAATGCCACCTCAGCCCCACGTGAATATGGGGTCGGATTTGCAATATCCGATTGTCTCCATGACCAGCTGGTGGGTGAATCAACTGGCTTCTGCGCGCGACTGATGACTGTTCGTCTACGAGTCGGAACAGGTAAGTTTGCCGCTTTAATAAGCACATACGTTCCGAGCTTGTGTTATCCTGATGACATGCGTGAGCAATTCTGCACTCAGCTATCCTACGTGATACGGTCTGTGCCGAGCAGCGACCGACTATTTCTGCTGGGTAATTTCAACGCGCGCGTTAGACATGATGCATCGGTGTGGACAGATGTCATCGGTCCGCATGACATTGGTTCAGCGAATGCGAACGGTGATAGGCTGCTCTCACTGTGTGCCACTCACGGCCTGACGATCACGAACACTCGGTTTGCACTGAGTGCGAGTGATATAGCAAGTTGGACCCACCAGCGGAGTGGTCACGCTCACCTGCTCGACTATGTCATCGTACGTCAGCGTGATATGCGTGAAGTGCGCATCACACGTGTACTGTGTGGAGTTGAGTATGACATGGATCTTAAAGTGGTACGGACCAAACTGAACATATATTTTTATAAATCTATGTATTGCACTTCCGCCGTGAATCGGCGTACATTTAACCTTCTCTCGCCCGGCACTGTAACGAAACGTACTGAGCTGGAGAAGGCGATGGCTGTACGCCTGTGTGGTGATGTTGATTGCATAGCCACAGTAGGCGACCTGTGGCAACACATCCATGACCAGTTGACAGCTGCTGCCGATGAGACCATGGGGCGCGCAAACTGTAAGCAGCCTGATTGGTTTGACGAAATGCGATGATTGGCGCATTGGTGTGTAAGAATAATGCAGCATTTGCTGCACATGAGTCAGACCCAGTGACTTGGGGACGAATAGTCAGTTTCGCAAACTTCGACGGCGACTTCCCCGCGAGCTCCATCGCGTTCAAAATGCATGGTGGACGGAGAAGGCGAAGCAGATGGAATGCTAGGCTGAACGCCGCCAGCTGAAGGAATTCTTTGACTCCTTGAAGGCGGTGTATGGAACGAGATTGGAGCCGCTGAGGACTATGATCGATGGTAGTTCAGGCGCTACCTGCACACAGACTGCAGACATAACGCAGGTATGGCGAAAGCACTATGACTGTCTCTTGAACTACCGTTCATTGATGGACTAGCTTACTTTGAATGACCTTCAGCAGCACGATGTGAAGGCGAGTCTGGCGTGCACGCTGACACAGAATAGGACGCAGACAGCATTTGCTCTGGTGCGAAAAGGCAAGTGTGCTGGGGCCGTAGGGATCCCGCCTGAAGTATTGAAACATGGCGGACCCGCGTTGGTGACTGCGTTCCACCACTTGGTGCAACGTGTATGGATTGAGGAGGAGGTACCTGCTGAGCTGAAGGATGCATTTGTGCTACCATTACTCAAGAGCAAAGGTAGCAAGCAGTGTTACACGAATTATCGTGGCGTCAACTTGCTGAGTTGTGTGGGCAACATGGTTGCCCGTATCCTGCTCAACCGCGTCGTCAGTCAGGTTGTGGAAGTTAAAGTAGCGGAAGAGCAATGTTGACTCCGTTCAGGTCGCAGCACTCTAGGTATAATGTTTGCTGCTTGTCAGTTGCAGGAGATGTGCAGAGAACGACACCAGCGGTTATACTCTCTTTTTGTTGATTTCACCAAGGCATTTTTACAGTGCACCGCAATGCATTGTGGCTGGTGTTGGGGAAGTTTCGTTGCCCGCCTAAGTTTAATTGCATGTCTGCATAGTGGGATGCGGGCGAGAGTGCAGCTGAGTGGAGAGACGTCGGATGACATTGTAGAAATCTCTGGTGTGAAGCAAGGCTGTGTCGTAGCTCCTGCCCTCTTTAACATCTATCTTCATTCCATGATGTCTTGTACTTTTGATACCGCTTGTGTTTACGGTGTTCGTTTGGAGCACCATATTGATGGTGGGTTGCTGAACATCCGTCGTTTCGGTGCGAGAACCCCAGTTTGTGAGACAACTATCCGTATGTTGTTGTTTGCTGACGACTGTGCGTTGCGTGCACACAGCGCGGATGAGTTGCAACACATGACTAGTGCTCTGGCTTCGACAGCGGCCAAAATCGTGCCCACCATCAACACAAGCAAAATGCTCTGCCTCTTGTATCCTTCACCGGAGGTGCAATGTACAATATGGACGAAACTTATCATCGGTGATTCAGTATTGGAAACCACCTTCCGCTTCTGCTACCTTAGGAGTGTGGTGTCGACTGACCGACAGCTACACAGTGAGCTTCGTATCCGTGTCTCGGATGCAGCGATGGCATTCGGAAGTTAGAGTACCGAGTGTGGAACAACCATCAGCTTACCATTGGCACGCAGCTGATGGTGTACAAATCCATGGTGCTGTCCGTTCTTCTATACGGCAGTGAAACGTGGACGATGTACCGGCGGGATGTGCGATATCTCGAGCGGTTCCATCAGCAGTGTCTGCGACGAATTTTGCGCATCGGTTGGGGCGACAGAGTTGCAGACACGGAAGTGTTGCGCCGAAGTGGGATGTATGCAGTGGACTGCATACTTTTGCTGAGACACCTGAGGTGGCTCGGTCATGTGAGCCGTATGGATTCGACGCGGATACCGAAACAACTATTATATGGTCAGCTGAGTATTGGGAAGCGGCATGTGGGGAAACCAAGTTACGTTACCAGGACATGATCAAAGTGAGCCTCTCACGTTCTAATCTTGATTGCAGGTCATGGGAATCGAAAGCGGTTGGTCGGCGTGCATGGCGCGTTGATGGCGGAAACTGGTTCCGGATTTGCCTGTTACTGTGGCCCCAATGAGGACAGTCACTGGATGTCTAATCCTACAGGGGAACTATGACTGTCTTATACTGCACAACCCACGGTTCCATCTATGCATCCAATGTCCAGTGTATATCCAAAGGAACAAGACCGGGTGGCATGTGATTGGGAGCCACGTTTCATCAAAGGAGCCGGCCCACACTCTTCTAACATGCACAACAGCACATTGCTGTCTATCTAATGTGGGAACCATGCTTGTCAGACACACACAAAACGGTAGCTGGACCGTAGTCCGCTCCACACTAGATGGACCAACTTCTGCATCCAACATGGCCTCTAGGACCGTGCACTCGGTCTCGCCCAGCAACGATTCACAGTCTCGTAGGCCAGTAATCGAGGTGGATGAAGTTGGACAGGTGAACACCTTGTGAACATTCACAACAAGCGCAGCCACACCGGGGATATCGAATAGCCAATACAGAATTTGAAAGAAAATCAGCTCGCAAAATTGACACCGAATATGCAGTAGAATAAGAGAACTGATCAAATAGAATATAGTGGCAAACTTTCGTTGCAGCTTGAGCAGACCTAGTTTAGGTGTTAGTAGGTGTATTGCAGCTCTATGCTAAACCATTTCATGCTAATACGTGTGTTTCTGAAGAAACACTGCCAAAGCATATGGTTATTCCGTTTTCCTTATCAAGATCCTGGACCTCCACCTCATCCATTGGATTTGATTACCAAAGAGAGCGTCCAGTTGCGATTTTGGATCTCATGGGAACCGCCAATAGTTACGGAACGGTAGATCAGATCGGCCGAAGGGAAACTAACACAGTCAGGTGTCTCCTTGTTACAAAACATAAAGTATCGCGTCGTTTGGGCACCCAGAATTGAGGAACCCGTGAGTCGAGAGATGTACAATGACGCGGTTGGGTTCAGCCCATTGATGGACCTTCAGCGATCTGACGCACGCATTGTACATAAGCTAATTATTTTTCACACAAACTGAAGTGAAGCCTACTCAACCGATCTCCCCCACAACCCATTGTAGTTAGCAAGTTGTTTGTAACTTCGGAAGTAGTTACATTGGCAGAACAGATCGATCCTTGAGTAGGCGCATTAGAAAGTATATCCCAAAACGGATTGCTAAGCTATCGACACAACAAGCAGTCGACCAAGATAAGGTATCTAAGATGCCGGCATCATCTATCGTCAGGCATCTAATCGAAACAGGCCATCAGGTTGACCCTCGGTCAACATTTACAGTTATCTATCGAAATGAAAACCCCAACCTTTTGAGGTCCACCGAAGCTGTGGCACTTAACCGGCATCACCCTATGCTTTGTGTACCGAAACAATTAACATTCTCCCTCAATTTTCCTCGGGGCTTATGACCCTAAGGTCAAGCGTGTCGATCTGTTATTCTTGCGTCTACCTAATTTCCCTTCGTGACCAGTTTCAAACCTTCGATTTTTCTAGCACGTGATTCATATTTGTTGTTAGTTTCCGAGTGAGCAGATAACACAAAAAGCTTCCATCTCGCAATACCAGTCTTCTCATTGTCTTATTTAGAATGATAAAGGGAACACAGTGCTTTAAATTGTTTTATCTCATTTGTATACTCACTTGTGAAAATGCCGGAACATCTTACCAAAAAAGCACCGTGAAGTAAACAAGGAGTTATTATCCAATCCAGAACTAGTCCTTTCCCGACCAGACAAAGGATCTGGCTGAGTACTGATGCCCAAGTCTACGTCTATAAACTGACAATAATTCCAAGCGTTACCAAGAAATTCCGGCGAGACGCAATCCAAAAAGAGACCACATCGCTAGAGGAAACAAAAACCATTAACATTTTGAAAAAATTAAGAGCGTCGAAGCACATAGATGGTGCACTCTTCTCAAAGCTGACCATAGGCGACTCACCCTCCGCGACGCTATGATTTGCCAAAACTGCCCAAAATAAACGTTCCCCTACGATCAACAGTGGACTTGTCTACTTCCGCTTTTCATTCTTTCGCAAAGTGAATAACAGATTTGCTGGAACCGATTCGCAAAGAATTGTCGATTCATACGGTCAAAGACACGTTTGATGTTGTCCACCGTACAGAAAACTCAAACATGAAGGATAAATTAATGCTTTCGTTTGAGGTGGAATTACTTTTCACGAACTTGCGGTTGGTAGAGACTGTGACCTTCATTCGTGATTTCATCACTGAGAGAAACTGATGTTCGAATTCCGGTGAATAAACTAAAGATATTGACTCTGCATTGTACCTTCCACTTACAATTTCTGTTTAATGAAATCTATTGTAGACAGATAGATGGAGTCGCAAAGGGTTCTCCCTAAGCCTTTATTTGGCTGACATCTTTCTTTCAAGGCTCAAAGGTGGACATTTGAACACATTTATTTCTTCATTTGATTTATACTACCGTTACAGGGACGACACTTTCATTGTCTGTAACTCTTCCACCGACTATTTAACCCCTTTTCTTTGTCCCTCCCCATCCCTTTTAGTCTCCCCCTCCATCTACAATCTCATTTCGTAGGGTAAAACATAATAATGTTTTTTACCTAGTAGCTGACTCGTAGCTTGCCGGAACGATGCCTATCCGTTGCTGGTAGCTCAGCTGGCATGCTACTGTTGTATCTATTTTTCCTTTGTGTATTGTATTATATGTATGTATGGATGTATGTGTTGTTTGATATCCCCGGTGTGGCTGCGCTTGATGTGTATGTTGACAAGGGGCCTACCTGTCTATTACCCACTACCTCGTCCATACTGGCTCCAGGAGACAGTTGGTCGTTGCTGGAGGGGACGGGGTGCACGGTTCTTGTGGCCGTGTTAGACTCGAAGAGTGGTTCCATGCAGTCAGTGTGGAGCGGACTACGGTCCAGCCACCGCCTTGTGTGCGCTTGGATTCCCAAAAGACAGTGTGCTAGTGTTTGCCTGTGAAGGAGTGTGGGCCGGCTCCGTTGATGAAACGTGGCTCCCATCCGCATGCCTCCCGGTCTTATTCCTTCGGGTTTACACTGGATATGGGGTGTGTGGTGGAACTGTGGGTGGTGCAGCGCAAGCCACCATGGTCCCTCTGTAGGCGCAGGCGTCCTGTGACTGTCCCCCTGGAGCCACAGTGACAGGCAAATCCTACAAAGCCATTTTGTAGTGGAATTCGAAAACTTGAGGGCTAATATCTCCTATGTAGTGGCAAGAACCTGCATGGCAGTGGAGGAGAAGTTGCGATATACCCCAGTTAGCTCACAACTTCAGATGGCCTGCCTCCGTTCCCTATGGATCAGTGACACAAGCTGCTGGCTAGATGGCGTTAACCTTTGGCGGTCACGGGTACGATCCCCAGCAGGGGACCGAGGAACTGCGCACCGCTGACGAGCACCAATAGGGTGAAACGATCGTCTGGTTTTTTTCCGAAATGAGGGTAGACTGGTGTGGTTCGTGAGCAACTGGGCTGAACCAGTAAAACTTCATCAAAATTCGCCATATGACATCTGTGTACAAGGGATCCATCTTGCTTGTTGGCACATAGCCGAAGTTATTTACTTATTTGTTTGTCTACCACACATCGAACAATGCCAACTTTACGAGATCCACACTGAACAAATATCAGTGGCTTTTGATGCGGTTCACATCACGCCAGATTGCACATGGTATTCAATTCTCAGAGGTCGCTACCAGTGAGTGAACGCCATTCACTGAGATAACGATTGTCAGACACCCAAATGGGAACGCGGGAACTAACCTCGCTTCATTTCTACCGATGGTGGGTTTATCGAACTTCGCTGTTGTAAACTGTTTTTGGCTTCAGGCCGTCGCATTGGTTGTGTGCGAGAGTTATCCGGAGAGTGACACCAGTCGTCCAAATCTAGCCGGTAGGGAATTTGTATGATTAAGCTAATTCGTCCTATCTGGCTTACTGATGCTACTCTAATGGTGGTTCAAACTGCGGTGCTTGATGTTGAGTCTGCTAACGTGCCTTCACCATGCCAGTCAACTTTTGTAGGATGCCTTCGGAGGAAGCCACTCTGGTGCAGTTACACTCAACGTGAAATGTCTGCAAACGGGAAAGTCACTTCTGCGAACTATCCAAGTCAATCCGTACTCAACTCGCACTAACATATTTGCAAATACTGAGGACGTATATTTCCCCCAGACACGGTTAGATAACATCCACAATGATTACTATATACTGCTGAAATAGTGAGTAAATTCCAATTGCGCTTCGCTTGGTTAATTTATCTTGCCACTGTCGAGGGGTTGCGGCTAATTGCGTTAGCTTTCTAAAGGAGACCGATGCGTCGTGCAACTATCCCAGACAACTATTCAGCCACCGAGAGTAGAAAAGAATGAACGAGAAATGTGATTTTCATTCGTGTAGATAAATCTCATACTTCACGCGATTTACCACAACATGTGAAACTGTGCTCAAATAGTATGGGCAAACGTCATCTACTTCCCAGTTTCTGGAACCGGTTGTTACTCGGTTTTATCAGCCATCAAGCCCAGATTGAGGAAGAGATTTTACTCCAAGGCGCATGCAACTCAAAGGAATAAATAGACTAGTGGAATGGTAACAAGAGAACCGTGACAAGCCAGACAACAGTTAATTGTCATTTGGGAATTTTCGGGGAAGAAAATAGCTTCACAGATACGTCAACACCAATTAAATTAATTCGCCATTTCCTGATCAGAGACACAGGGCACTGGCAACACAAGTGGCATAAACGTCCTATTTTGTGAAGAGTAGGCGAGTGAATGCAAACAGGTTTGGGATAATAAATTTTTAGTTAAAATGTTTGACAACGTGTATGCCCCAAATTTAAGGCCATTACACATCAACATTAATTTACAGACTGTTCACTGCTTAATTTTCGATGTACAACCTATTAGCAACATCGAAAAATATAACCGAAGTCACACCTTGAGAAAGTCCCTGCTACTTTTAGGTATATATATATATATATATATATATATATATATAGGTATCATTTTGAATACTAGACCGCTCTGGTGGTTAATATGGTGATATCAGTGATCAACGTTTCTACAGATACCTTGTCACACATGAATTGTAATTAGCATAGTTGTATGGTCTATGCAGGTAATCAAATCGTCGTTTACTTCTCTTGAGAAATGCTAGTGTTCTGGTTCTATGTAGTGAGTGAATTTGCCTACATTTTCTAGGGCATTACTTGGTAATTTTTGCATTGTTCATAAAGATGACGAACACACGCGACAGCTGGGATCAAAATCTTGCCACACATCTAGACGATGTATCACCCAGTTATCATCTGTGCGTTGTTAAGTGTATACAGCTACGGATTCTTTCAACAGAGTTTGCTGAAACTGAAAGCTGCACTACAATTTTAGTGTGCAGGTGTCTGATCTATATTTACCATCAAAATAGTTTTCTTACTTTAACTGTGGATATGTGTACAAATCATGTCGTGGCGATTTAATGTCAGCATGGTTCACTATGTGAATTAGGGCTAATGATCAGTACATTTGACTGGAGCTGTTTGTATACCACATTGATATGTGTACCTGGAATTAGCCGAAGTAACTATGAAATGCGTATTTGTATGATACCTCTTGAGAGTTTGCAGTGTGAAACTGCACAAATGACCAAATGCAGTTATTCCAATCTTTACCACTCAGCGTTAGCAGGTTATTGGCAAGTCGCATCCAGAAAACGAGAATAGAACGCAACCAACCAGTTGTTGTGAGTCATCGGGGCATTTGGTACGGTATTCGATTCGTGTCGTGGTGTTTGTGCTCATGACTGAAG